TTGGCTGCCTGCTTTGAAGGTTATCTTGGATTATTAATTCTATCTTCTGTGTACATAAGACTTTCTGAAATGCAGTAGACCTCTGGCTGATGAACATACACAGCCTTCTTGATGTTCGTGGTACAGTATAAACGAAATGATTTTTACTTTATTTTGCTGTAGAAACTAAGTTCAGTTCTTCCACCCAAGAAGAATATAATTGCTCTGGGAGCATGAGGAGTGTTATAATAAGCTGATAGCATTAACGTTCCTCAGGTGAATCAAACAATTAAAAACTTAGCATTCCTATAATGAGACACTATTGTTTAAAATACAAGAAGAATGGGGGGCAGAGGCAGGCAGATCTCTGTGAGTTCAAGGCCAACCTGGTCTACATAGCAAGTTCCAGGCCACCAGCTACAGGGAGACCCTATCTTTAAAAGACCAAAAAAAAAAAAAAAAAAAAAAAAGGTATAAGAAGAAATAAATGATTGTGTCTATGTATTCCTTTAGTCATTTCTATAATTTTTATCATAGTCAAAGTAAACACATTGTGTTTATAATATAAGCCCTATGTCAGACAATTACAGTCTACCTTCCGTGTCTGTGTTAGTCAGGATTCTCTAGAGGAACAGAACTGATGAAATGAATAGATATTTATATATAAAGAATTTATTAATCAGCTTACTTCAAAATAGTAACAGCTGAATTACACCTGAGAGTCAGAGAGCCCAGTAGCTGCTGGGTGTCTCCGCAGTCAGAGTGGTTCCACAGAAGCTGTCTCATACTGGAGAGGCAGAGAACCTCAGTTTGAGGTTCTACAACTCACAGTTGCTCAGTTCATAGGCCTTAGCAGTTCCAATCTGCACTGAAAACCTGGAGGGTTCCTGGAGAGCCTTTGGTCCTTAGTCAAGGACGGAAGCCTGGAAATGCTGATTCTGATATCAGTAAAGGAGTTAATGGCAACAGGGTGAATTAACTCTGGCGGGGAGGAAGGCCAAACACGCAAAAGACAAATATCTTCCTTCTGCCTTTCTGTCTGCGCTGTGGCATGAAAGCGGGGGGGGGGGGGGGGGGGCGCACCTCAGACAATGAAGACATTTGCTCATCAGCCTTCACACTATCTATACTCGCCAAGCCACTAGTTTAAAATACTCCATCTACTTCTCACATTGCCTAGCCCCGTCTTTGCTTGAACACTTATTACCTGGAACGCCTTATAGTTTGTTTACTGTCTTTCTGCATTCACTAGAATATAAAGTCCAGGAGGGCATATGGTCACATCCCATTTTAGAAAGTGCACCGAAAGACAGGAGAAGGCTTAAAGGCACAGAGGTCATTAGATGGAAGTCACATTAACAAGTGTGACTTTGAAAAGGGCATAGCCAAGCAGAAGAAGGGCTAGACCACGGCAACTCTGATAGAGCTGATGGACTATGGTCTGAGTTAACACGCCTAACTCTCAGGCCTGAGTTGACATGCTTCTGGTTAAAGACAGTCACAAACCTTACGTTGAACTTGCTTGCTCACTCACTGTATGCTGAATGTTGTATATAATCTTTAGAAATGGAATTTAGCAGGGTTGGGCAAAACAAGAGAGAAAAGTCAAGTATACTGTATATAAAATAATAGAATTATTCTTTTACAGGCTTCTATCTGAACTTTGTTTTGCGTAGCTCTCTGTGATCTTTTCTGGCAGGTCATGAAAACGTCAGTGAAGAGGATTATGTGAACGTTATTGATAATAATACTCTACACTCAGAATTTTTCAATGAGCTTTAAAAATTATTTATTATTTTAATTCTATGTGTATGATTGTATAGCCTCCATGTACATAAGTACACCCATGTCATGCAGTGCCCGCAGAGATCAGAAGAGGGCGTTGGATCTCCTGGAACTGGAGTTAGGACAGTTGTTAGCTGCCATGTGGGTGCTGGGAATTAAACCCAGATCCTCTGAAATAAAGAGAAGCAGTAAGTTCACTAGTGAATAATGCATTTATGACATTCTTTATCCAAGCCATTATTCAAGCTGAAAATATAAAATTTTAAGATTTGACAAGTTGGGCCAGCAAGATTGCTCAGAGGGGCAAACCAAACAACCTGGGTTCATTCCCTGGAACCTACATGGTCGAAGGAGAGAACCAAACTCTGCAAGATTTCCTCTGACATCCACACATGTGCTGTGGCATGCACATGCCCACGCACATAGATCACACACGGAAAACCCCACAAATAATAACTTTTAAACATTAGATGAGTAATTGAGTTATTCTATAGTATCACCTGTTATTTCATAAACTTATATTGTACTAGAAAAAAACAAGGCTAATCAAAGGTAGATGTCTTAACTACTTAGTGACAACATGCCTTAATTTCAAAATTGGTTTTTGGAAAATGGAAGCCTTAATTTAATAAGCTTATATTTGCCAAGCTTGTTGGTACACACTTTTAATCCCAGCACTCAGGAGGCAGAGGCAGGCAGATTTCTGTGAATTCAAGGCCAGCCTGGTCTACACAGTGAGTTCTAGCCCTGCTGAAGCTACAAGGAGATGCTGTCTCAAAAAGACCAAAAAAAAAGCTTTTATTTAAAGATATTTAAAGCATACATAGTAAAATCTTGTTTAGTGAAATAGCTGAGGTATGTGTGTCTGTAATTAGTGCATGCACGCACACCTGGGCACCCATGCATGTTTGTATATTTACTCAAAAGTATGTCTGTTCAGTGCAGCTCTACTCACAGTCCATCCGTCTCCCCCCCCCCCCCCCGTAATGGATGGCACTATCCTTGGCTCCCTGCTATTTTTCCTGTCAGTGAGATTTAAGAAATATATACACATTTTTGGTAACTGAGAATATATATTGGCAGCAAACTTGCAAAAAAATCTATAAGATGTATATTCATAATTCAAAAATTAATGTTAAATCCCTAAAATATCTGCTTTCATTTTCTGAGTTTCCAAAAAAAACACTAGGTTCATAAAACTGAAGGGAAAATATTATATTAAATTTCTTTGGTTATTTGATTTTCTTTAAAATTGCTTTAAAATATACTAGTATAATTTTATGTGATCAGTGTTTATAAATCTCTGATTTAAAATGACCATGGATCAGAGATCAAATTAGAAAATATCAGGTGTGTTGATCTCTAGTTAAATATTTGATGTAAAATTCATTCTTATTTTCATTTGAAATATTCCATTGCAGGAATGTGTATCAACGTAATGAAATACCCAATTTCAGTGAACAGTATTTTTTCAAGTGGCAAAGTTAGATTTACAATAAGAATGAAAGCTTTGTGAATTGAATATATACATCCTCAGTCTAAACACTGAATTAATGTACTTCTTGTTATGTAATTTCCTTTCTAACATCAACATGTTAAGAATCGAAATACTCTGGAGACACTTGAGAAATGGAATCCTAGACAATGATAAAATCTAAGACTTTTCTTCACTCTCAGATCTCCTATCACAACTTGCAGCTTCTGCCCTTGCTTAGCATTAGCATTCATTTCTCAGTTTACACAAGTGAGGGAATGATTAAACATGTTTATGTGTGAAGGGGAAAGAACTGGTGAAGAAGAGAAGTCTGATGCAGACGCAGGGCTGATTGATTGGAAAAGATCCCCCAGGACAGAGCGAGGATGGAGTCCAGAGACTAGGAATGAATTGGCCTTACAAAGTGGGAGGAGTTCTTCCTCCTCTGATACAGGAAAGGGGGTCTGTTGTGGGCTTGGGTTGATGAGAGACAAGATGTAGAGGGAATTTACACCTGATTGTCTATTTGTTCTGCAAAATCTAAAACAGAGAATTTCAAATAGAGGAAGTAAGATGGGGGGAGAACACCCACAGATGTGACAAGCCTATTGAAAACATGGTCTGGTGGAGTGAAGGAAAAATAATAGAGGTGGTGTGACACAGTAACTTTCAGTAAACTAGAGTCCATTATAGGAGGAAATTAGTCTTCCTGTGAGGGTTATTACAAAGTAACTGGGGGGAACAGAGTCTCCAAATATTTCTGAACACTGTGTGTATTTAATATTTTTGGATGCATTTTGCTATGATCACAGTTGTACTTTCTTTGAGGTTACAGGGATGAAAGTCAAGTGCCGATTAACTGAAATGTCACACAGTGAAAATCAGCTGTTAAGTATAGCGCACTGAAAGAGCTTTCATGTGAAATGATGTTTATAAACTCACTAAAGCATAACAAAATCAAATACATTTCTTAAGGAGCTAAAAGAAAGTGCTTAATATTGTTATTTTTAAATAGACATATAATGAGTCAAAACTGCAGTCCTAACACTGACTTTGTGTTTGAAAGCCAGGCCTTGATCTGGGTAAAGCCAGCAGGGTCCTAACACTGACTTTGTGGTTGAAAAACTGCTTAATTTCACAACTGTCACATTTGCATTTTCTATGTAAATATTCTCATTCATCTCACTAAATAGTCTATTCTGCCCACTTCTTGGGTGTCAGTCTAACAACATCCGGCAACATCTGTGTTCCTTTCTCAGGTACATACCAGGTGTTGCATTTGGCCTTGCCCTTTCTAATTTGTAAACAAGTTTTTGTTCAGGTTAGTTGACCAAACTTCCTAAGAAGTCAAGTCGAACACAACACACTTCTGTGCAGTGCTGTTATTTCCTTTGTAAATCTGCTTAGTGGTTTGCTGAGGCAGATACCATCTAATGTGTCCATGTGCCAAAAAATAGTGTTGTGCTGTTTCTAGCCCTCCAAATGAGACTGAGATGATAGATTGGCAGGTATTCAAGGAAGCAAATGCAATGGGACAACCAACATTTTTATTTCTAAGAGAGAAATCAGAGTCCTCTTACATGGTTAATGTTTTTCAGAAAATTAAAATAGAAAAACAAAAGACTCATCTTGTACTTCCAACTGAAATTTTTCCTTTTAGCATATTTTAGTATGGCAAGGGAACTTTATGGAATAGGGTGGTTTGGTCATCTAAGTTTAAATGGCAATAGTATTACACTAATCAAATTGTTTTCACTTTCAGGGACCTCTGGGGCCTCCAGGACAAAAGGTAGAGTGTATATCAATGCTGAGAAAGTAATTATATTCCTTTGTCTAATGGGAGCAAGAGCAGTGGATGGAATTAGCTACCATAAACCATGCTGAGGTAGTTAAGTCAGTACATTCTGTTTTCTAAAACTACATCCATTTTAATGTAGCATTAGATTTCTAATCTACTTCATTGTAGAATATTCAGGAAGTCCAGACTCTCTGAGCTGTCTGCTGAACTTATTAGGTCATTGAACTTTTAACTCAAATATCAGTAACACATCCTAACAGCATTTAAAATATGAAGGATCATGTGACTTTGCAAATTGATTGCTGGCTTTGGTCAAATATAGAGCCGCCCAATGGCCACAGAACTGACCAGAACAGAGGATTGCATGATGCTTAGTTCATGCACTGCTTGCCTCTCACTCAGTGCCCCTCTTGGATGAGGTAACCTGAAAAGTGGCTGATTGGAATTTCAGTGTTATCCACAATCATCCAAATTGACCATTCCATTCCGAAGAGGAGGATCTAGGAATTCTGAAATCACAGCAGTGCTGTGGTGATAAATACATCAATAGCAGATAGATGGCCCTTTGCCAGTGAAATATCACTACCCTCCTTTCTCTAACCTCCCACCCTGACAAAGGAGGGAGATGATATTTAACCTGCAAAAACTAAAGAAAACAATTGTATTAACAGGTGGAAAAGTGATTATTCTTTATTGTTGGAATCCATCAAAGATAGAGACTTTTTACTCCCAAGCACTGGGCATGTGGCATCTGTTGAAATGTAATCCTTCAAACCAAGTAAAAGCCCTGCTCTGGGAGACAGCATGTGTGTAGGAACACATTGTCCTTCGCAATGTCTCTATTAAGCTCAGTGTGAAATTGTAAAGCTAGCCTAATCCACATTTGACCAGGATAAAGTGGCAGCTTCAGGCTTTGAGAACTCCTTTAATACCCACCCCATAGGATCATTGACTGCATTTTTAAGGAACTTGCCATCGCAATTTGTTTCTTTTAGAGCAACTTCATGTTAACGTGACTATTTAATGAAAACTTCTCCCATTATTATAAAAGAAAAAGAAAAATCTATTTTCCTATTCTTGGTGAAAGGAAGCACATTGTACTTAGGTTTCTTTTCTTTTCTTTTTCTTTTTCTTTTTTTTTTTTTTTTTTGGATAATTTGTTGAGAATTTCATTTTTTGGTGAAAGAAAGCACTTGTTCTTTTGTTTTTTTTTTTTTTTTTTTTTTTTTTTTTTTTTTTTTTTTTGGTCTTTTTAAGACAGGCTCTCCCCAGCTGTCCTGGAACTCACTATGTAGACCAGGCTGGCCTCAAACTCACAGAGATCCTCCTGCCTCTGCCTGAGCGCTGGGATTAAAGGCATGCACCACCACGCCCGGTTTGTACTTAGGTTTCTTAAACGCCTGAAGGGGAGGTATGAAGGAGAAACAGCATCACCATTTGAAAAAGTTTACTACTGCCTCTACGATCACTTAAATGTCATGGACTGTCTCTGGTTGTGGCAAGTTCTCTTGCTCTCAGTGTGCCTTCCACATCCACATGCTCACACCCAGATGCTCACACTCACCCACGGAGGTGTGCTCATGTTACCTTCATTTTCTGTGTACAGAAGTTGTATTGTCCCTGGTCAGTGAAAAACAGTTATGACACCCTTTTGAGTCTACTTTGGAAGACACATTCATACTTAATGTGACTTAAACACACTTCCTGAAAGTCCGGGAGGCGGGGGGCAGTGGTCCAAATACAAGAAATTTCGGTTTACAGCATGGGGCCATTATTTAGTTGTAGGATAAGCAGTTGTTATTTTAATTACCTTCTGTTTTGTGTTATATAAACTTATAAAATTCAACAATTACTGCTAGGCTTTTTCCAGGTGGAACTAAGATTATCTAGATCTTAAAAACAAAATTTAGAACCATGTGGCCTTCAAAAAGATGTGGCTTTCAATTTAGGATATGAAATTCTTTAAAACCATGTTAGAGTTAAGTATTTGGAAAGAATATTAAATTTTATCTCTAGTTTCTGGTAAGTTTGAAGACCTGCCTACATTATTATACCATTATCATATATTTGAACACAGTGGAAATAAAGCCTTAAAACTTTTTGTGTAGAAGTTGTATTATGTTCTAGCAATGTAAAGTTATGGCTGACATAACAATCACAGTATGGATTTAGAATTGAAATATATATGATTACCCTATCAACTTCATTTAATCATGCACTTCCTTAGGGTTCTGTTGGAGCCACCGGAATTCCAGGGATGGATGGACAAAAGGTGAGTTCTGTTGAATATAGGATTTCTTTTATAATTCAGAGATTATTAGAGGCATGGCATTATTCTAGGGAGTAAGGCTATTAATAAGTATGTATGCTTATAAATATAGGAAGGTCATTTTAAAAATTATCAAATCAGCATAACTTTAAAGAAGCTTTAGTTTGAAGCTAAATGAATGTGTTACATTTTTACGTTACCTATAAAATGCAACTGTCTCTACCTCACACGTATAGATGAGGTAGGGGAGGTGCTGTACTTCAGGTTCATCATGATAAGCAAAATACACTCTAGTTTATTCTGGTCCTGGGTAAATTAATATGTATTTTTTCTTTAGCAAACGTCATTTGTATAAAGGGAACCTATTTAAACCTTCTGAATCCAGAAATAAGCTCTTTTCATGGTTAAGAAAAATTAGGGATGAGATGGGCTTTCCAAATTCTGTTTCTATAGTTCTGTTGTACTGTTAATGAGGAGGGGAGGAGATAAGTGGAGTAAGTGTGTATGTGCACACACCTCTGCGCACAATATCTCTGTGTGTGTGTATATGTATCCTGTTACATAAATTTTTATCAATTGGACAAAGCATCTACAGTTATTCCACAGATAAGTCTGGTGTCTGCTCCTAATGTTTCTACCAGCTCTCCAATCTGGAACTTCTACAGAGACCAGCAAAGTCACTGTGGGAGGTAATAAAGCCCAGAAGCTGGGCTCAGGATTTTCCTATCTCCCTCTGAGATCTGGACCCAGCCCCTAGAAATCCCATGACTCATTCACTCATCTTCCAGAATATTTTAAAACCATGTGCCCTGAACCATGTTCTGAAATCACAAGGGTCGCAGCCCTTAGAGAGAACAGGCTTCCACCTGTGGCCCTTTTCATACCCTTTTTTCTCTAAATCTACCAACTGGCTGAGGAAATGTGTCTGCCACCTAGAGGCTGTGTAGATTTTGGCAACGTCCTCGAATTCTGTAGCCTCTTCTGTAAGAGGAAGACGTGCAGTCCTGCCTCATAAGGACCATGTGAGGATTCAGTGGAAAAATAAGTAAAATGCCCTTCAGTGGCATTTGCTATTACTATTCAACTTTTCCTGTATTTCATTTTAGTGAAATTCTGGAGGTTTGATTAATCTGTGTTTAAAAGAGGCTGTTTTCAGAATTAATCGAAATCCAAGTAAAATTAATATTCTCAACCAAAGTTCGCAGCACCATTAATCTATAGAGCAAACACAGCACACTCATCCACAGGTAAAGACCCATGCCACAGCTCCATTTCCACTTAGGAAAATACACATCACTTTGCCTCCCAAATCCTCATAAGAACGGAAGATTAACCTGCTTAGAGCTTAGAACATGCAGATTGCGAGGGAGCATCATTAAAAACTTCAAAGCTTATTATAAGGGAGATACGACAATTATGCAACTCAAGATGCTTTTACCATTGGTGAAAAACCAAAATTTGCATGCCTAGGGTTAATGTTTTGCTTTTGCTTTTTTGTCTTTATTTCTTTCCTTTGTCCAACTTTAAGACCATCATAAAAATTTATAGAAACCTTTAGCCTGTGAGAAAAGAACTTTAAAACTGTCTCATAGACTCCTGAAAACTTCATATTCTTTATTTTTCTAAGGAAATACGCAATTTCCTTAGAAAGAGAAGGCACGTGGCGTTTTCTTGTAGTCATCAAGTTTAAATCACACCAAGGAGACAAGCAGTTCGTGTTTGCAACTTTGTGTTTTGTTGTACATCACTGCAGCATTTTGAATGTGTTTTCTCTAAAACTGTCGGAAACAAATAGTTTCCCACTTTTATGGAGGTATCAGTGAAAGGCACTTGAGTTCATTTTCCTACTCCACACACCTAGAACTAAAAGCTCTGTGGAACCATTATTAAACTGAAGAATCATTTGACATAATTTATGGAATTTTCTATAACTTTGTTAGAATATTGACACATCAATTCTTTAAAAAATCTGCACTCAGAATAGGTGTAATTTAAAATCCCATATTTTTCTCCTCTCTCGATGTTTTTATGTTACTTGGCCTTAGGTAAACTATTATCATGGTAACTTACTTGAATAACAATTAGTGCCAAGCACTGACAGAGTAAATCTTGGAAGAAGAAAACCGACAACAGGTAAACCACATGAGAAGTCCAGTCTACGCACCTTAGCCCACATCCTTGTCTTTTTATTGCTATAAAATAACGTCAAAAGTTTTCAAGGTTAAAACCAAATTATTTTTCCTCTGCAAACTAGAATTTTCTGAGTCCTGGGGCATAAGGATTCTTTCCAAAGCAAAAAGATAATATCAGATAATCTTGTTTGCTATATTTTCCACAGGCTTTATAGACCTTATTTTTTAAGTTTAAAGTTTAATGTAAAATAAAAATTGATATTAGTGTGTCATCTATGACTCTACTCCAGATAGCTATGTGGTTTTTAAGGAACATTAAATTTTCATTGGCTTGGGGCTATGGTATTTGGAATTGTTTTTTATCTCTCATCCAGGAGCCTCGTAGTTCTTCACTGACATTACTCTTCACAGAATACTTCTAATGGCATTTTTTATTATTATAAGTATATTTAGAGAGCAGATAAATCGAAGCTTCCAGACTTCCAAATGCCAAGCTGTTGATTCAAGTCTACACAGTAAAGTATGCATGAGTCCAGTATTTTATGCCAGGGTTTTTTTTCTTTGCCACCTTGAGTCTTTTTAAAAGTCTGAATTAAGGACTAGGAATATAGGCCAGGAATAAAGTATGTATTTGGCATGTGTATGGCTAAGGTTCAAAATCTAGTACTCAAAGAATTTTTGAATTAAATTCCTGAAGGATTTCAATGTGTTCTAGGTCTGTTTTCTGGCAGTGATGTATTTCTGGCTCCATGTATTTGTAACTTTCTGATGTTACCCATTAAGAAAAGATAGGAAAAAAAAAAAGGAAATGGCTGATTTCTGATTCCAACTTAGGTAATAGTTCAGGGATATTATCTTACAATAATTTAGTTCTTGCATAGGTTAGATGTGGGTATTAAATTGCATTTATTAGATTTCCTGTCTTCTGAAGTTACAGTTCTAAGACGCTAAGACCACTCTCCTTTAGGGGGCTGAGACTCCTTTTTTCTTAGCACTGTCTTATCCCCACCTGTGTACCCTCAAGCATCTCAAAACACTGCCCACTCTCACGAGAATTGACTTCTCATTCAGTTCCAGTTTAACTTTAGCTAAAGATCTATCTATCTTTTATGCTATTAATTTTAAGTCTCTTTAGAGGCAAATAAAAAGTTACTGAAAGAAGTCTACTAACGCTGACTTACAGTAAGACAACTACAGTAACATTTTCTTGCGAACCACGGCTCCCCCTCTGTTTCATTTAAGTGTGCTACTATAAAGCTGACAGCTAGCTATCATTCTAATATGTTGAGCAGATCACACTGGGACAAAGGACAATGAGAAATTAAGGGGTTAGATGGGCAGAGGTGTGAGAGAAGTGCCTCACAGGCTGCTTTGCAAAACAGACCAACCAGGCCAATGAATTGTGGCATCATGAAGTCCACTTAATTGCTTTTTTTTTTCCTGTGTTTTTGAGACAGGGTCTCCCTGTAGCCCCAGATGGCCTGGAACTCACTATGTAGACCAGGCTGGCCTTGAACTCACAGAGATCCACCTGACTCTGCCTCCAAAAAGCGTGTGCCACCACACCCAGCCTGAAAAACTTTTTTCAACATTCCTCTTCTGCATGTCTGTTGATTGATTCACTTTCCTCAGTCATTGATCATTCAGCCTTGCAAGTACCAGGGACCACCTGAGCCCCAGGACTAAAGCTGTATCTGCCATCAATGGAACTCCCAGGCTGATGGGGCCCAGAGACTACAGGAACAATATATCAAATGTCTGTTAAGTTGAAATGCTATTAATTTACTATGGAGGAGAAAAATGGGGTAGCCTGGTTTGGTGGGAAGAATTAGGGAACCCTAGCCAGAATGGGTGGCTCTATAAGATAATTCAAGTCTCAAGGATTTGGCAGGGGAAAAAGGAAATATTATTATGCCGCAGTATGTATGAGATGAATTATAGACAACCTTGGTCTTGAAATTATGTTTCTAAACATAGTGGTGGTAACCACTGTGGATTTTTTATTTATCATAGACAATTTTTCCTCTAAGTTCTGTGCTACTAAATAATAAATCAGTCAGAAACATGTTTTTATATCATTAGTTCTTCTAAATCATCTCTAAATAATACTGTTTAGTTTGAATTTTTATTAATATAAAGTAGTCACAAAATTACTCAGTTTGGCAATCCTAGCAGGTTAACCTCTATTTAGATTCATTTATTCAATTCCAGGCTATTTGCCAAAGGGCTTGTAACCATTTCTCAACTGTGAAACAGTATTGCTGGTGTTAATTTATAAGGAATTTAATTCTTTTCATTATTTTCTTCTCTGCCTTTTCTGACCAGTACAGAAAACAGAAGTTGTATAATTACTAAAATTATAAATCATCTATTAATTTCCTGGCATGGTTTTAAGTGTTATATGCATATCATCATCTCATGTAATCAATCTTAGGAAGTTGGTGCTATGATTAAGTATATTTATAAATGAGGACACTGAGGCACAGAAAACGGCAGTATTCTTTCTACCCAAAGTCACGCAGGTATAAACAGCAGAACAGACTGGGCTATCCGCTCCTATTACATGATAGAGGCTGAGAGTGTGGATTTTAAGATGAGAACGTTGTAGGTTTGCTACGCAGTATTTATGTGACTTTGGACCGTTGACCTTTTATAAACTTTGGTTTCTTCGCTTGTCAAACAGAGATTACAATATGTGCTTCAAAGTTCAATCAGAAAAAAAAATAAAGGAAGAAGCAAATGTAATTGTCTATTGAAGAACCTGGCTGTTTCCTCTAAGTTGGAGACATTAATGTCTCCATGATTCAGAATCCTCCTGGGGTCCAAATGCATATTAGTACTCAGTATTTCTCATTTCACCCTTCCTTGCTG